AAATTACTTTTTTGATTGAAACTGCTTATTTGTTTGATTAAATAATAAAAACACAAAACTACCTCCATATTTGGGCGGCTGTGGCAGAGTGGTTAGGGGAGTAGTCCTGGAACCAGAAGGTCGCTGGTTCGATCCCCCGTCCACCTGTCTCAGTTGTTGTGTCCTTGGGCAAGACACTTCAGCCCTAATGCCTCTGATGTCCCATCAGTGTATGAATGTGATTGGCACTGATTAGTCTCCACAGATGATTGTACATGTTAGCTYTGTAGAGASCTRACAGAGTGCTGTGTGAATGGRTAAATGAGGACACAGATTGTAGTGTGAAGAGCTTTGAGTGTCCTGGATGGATAGAAAAGTGCTATAGAAGTTCTGTCCATTTACCATATTAGTGTGTATCTTTGACATACCCATCCCATGATCTATGAACTAGTTGTCATGAATCTCTTGAACCGTGTCAGAATGGGATGAAGGTACCGCCATGGTTATAACATCTGCATTGAGTTGTTTTGTGACCTTTTCATAATCATGGTTTAAAGCCTACACTTGAGACTTTCTTGGCTAGTCCTGCTTCACATTTTTTATGACCATGCAACCTCATTGTGCACAGGTTTTGCATCATAGATAGGCTGCCACTGTGCTTCCCCAGGAACCCAATATGCTGCCAGAAAAAGAATAAACCACCACAACCTCACTACAAAGTTTTGTGCATGCTCAGGTCTCACTATAACCTATCATGCTGTGTCACTTAATTGTAGAATGGGAAGTCAACTGTGTTCTTAACATGCACCTAGAGACTCTTCTAAAGACCAACCATTTTCTGTCTGTTTTTTTTTACTCTGCTTCTGAGTTGTCCTCCAGTTTAGATAATGTTTAAAGCATGCTTGCTTTAACTTTAAATTATGTGTCTAATGAACAAACCACATACTGTACTTGTTCAGTTAAATTTGGTGGTAAAGTTTTAATTATAAATATGACCTTGTTTTTTTTTTTTCTTCTTTTTTTTCTAAAAATGAAACTTGAGAGCACATATAGTTTCACAGGTACTCATCTCATACATTTTTAATGTTAAAAACTGGCTGTTTTGCGCATATAATTTTTTTCCATGTTTTTTTTTCCTGTCGTCTCCCTAAATGACGAGGGATGATGTGAAAATTATCTGAACAAGACAAACAAATCACAATTTCAGCCTGTGTAATGATACAAATATCACTAGGTTGCCCAGATTTGCCTGGTTAAAGAATAATGGATGGATGGATGGATGGATGGATGGATGGATGGATGGATGGATGGA